AGCAATGCTTGTAGTTCTCGAGCATCATTCTCGGCAACTATAGGATATCATCGCACTCCTCTCTCTCTCTTACACTAAATTCCACTGCCTTGTATTACATCGGCTTGAGATCCATAAGTATCACCGATACGTTGACTTTTCCGGTGCAAGGCATTCTTGCAGATGGAACTGGAGGAACGATCATTGATTCCACGTTTGCATTCAGCTATTTCACACCAGATTCCTACACCCCTCTTGTGCAAGCCATACAAAACCTCAACTCCAACCTTACTAAAGTATCGAGCAACGAAACTGCAGCACTGCTTGGCAATGATATTTGCTACAATGTTTCTGTAAATGGTGACACACCACCACCACAAACTCTGACTTATCACTTTGAGAATGGCACACAGGTTGAATTTCGGACATGGTTTCCGCTAGATGGTGATGCTTAAAATGCTACTGTGTGCTTGGCTGTTTGAAGACTCACAGAAGGTGGGGTTCTCACTGAATGTTATAGGAACCTACCAGCAGCTGGATGTGGCAGTGGAGTTTGATCTGGAAAAGCAGGAGATTGGATTTGGAACGGCAGGATGTATGAACCTTGACACTTCTTCTGGTTTTACATACGTCTTCGTGTGGAAATCTTCTACAACTCAAGTGTTTTCTTTTCTTCCTCTCCTCACGTCACCTTCAAAACTTTGTCTTGTCAAGTTTACTATACAAACCGCGTCAACATAGAAAATTCAGTCTGGATTGATTTGTAAACTCGAGATATATAGCTTCTTTGAATTCTCAATACATCAGGCCTGGTGGGATTTGCAAAGACAAACAAGTCATTCATCGGACAACTTGCTGAACTCGCAGCAAGAGAAATCCATCCAAGCCACAAGAAAAGATGGAAATTAATTGTGTCGTTGACGAGCGCGCCCGATTGCGATTGCCTCTGGCATTTGGAGTGCGGCTGCACGATGGGGGATGAGTTCTCGCCGCGTGCCATGAAAACTTCGTGGCTGGAAGCTAGAACCTGCCAGGACTTGAACCTCGGACGTCCCCATCATCCAACGGCCATGATGCGATGCGCGTTCTTGGCGTCCAAGAGCTTGTCGCCCTCGTCAGATCTTGCGACAATCCCAGCGATGGCCGCCGGATCCACGCCCAGATCCTTCACAGCGACCACAATAACAGCGTCTTCCTGCGAAATCTCCTCGTCCAGATGTATGGCCGCTGCGGCTGCCTGGAGGAAGCCGATTCTACCTCGGATCGCAATCTCTTCTCTTGGAATCTCACCCTCCAGGCCTACATTCCCAACCACGACCTGGAGCAGGCGCGATCGGTCCTGGGAAGCATGCCGCCGCAGGAGATTGTGTCCAGCAACACCATGATCTCGCGGCCGGGGACGTGCAGCGCGCCAAGCAGCTCTTCGATCGCATCCCTGCCAAAGAATTCCATCACCTGGAACACGATGATCGAGATGTACTCGCAGAGTGGCAATCTCGGCGAGGCGGAGGCGGTATTCCACTCCATGCCGGAGGAAACCCTCGTTTCTAGCACCTCCATGATCGTGGCATATGCCCATAACGGGCATCTCTCATGCGCACGTGAACTCTGCCCCAAAAGGACGTGGTGGCGTGGGCGGCCATGGTACAAGGCCATGCCACAACCCGGGGCTGGATGAAGCTAAAGATCTCTTTGATAGAATGCCCACAAGGAATGTAGTAACATGGAGGACCATGATCACAGCATATGCCCAGGCAGGGCATATGGAGCAAGCAAAGATTCTCTTTGAAGATGCCCCAGATCTTAATGAGGTGACATTTACGGCTATGATTGACGGCTACGCATCTAACGGCTCTATGGAGGAGGCTAAAGCTTTGTCTGATAGGCTGCCAAACAAAGACGTGGCTTGGAACTCCATGGTTTGCAGATATGCCGCGAATGGGCATTTGGACGAGGCATTAGATTCTTTCCAAAAGATGGCTCACCGTGATGAGATCTCTTGGACGACAATGATGCATATGCTTACCTCTAGAAACCATCTTGAAAATGCAAAGTTTATTTTAGATCGAATGCCTTACAATAGCAAGACAGCAAGCACAGCACTCCTCTCGGCCTATCTCTGGAACGCACTTCCAGGAAGTGATGAGCCCCTTCCAAGCGATGGAGGAGTGTGATGTGATTGCCTGGATGGCAATGGTGGTGGGTTTTGTTCACAAGGGACTCCTTTTGGAAGCTTGAGTTTGGTTTGAGAAAATGCCAGAGTGGGTCTCATGGACTGCAGTGGTGGCCATGGATGCTTCCACCGGCATGTAACCGAGGCCTTGGAAACCTTCCATAGGACCATCCAGGAGAGCATGATGCCCAATCACATTGTCTTTATGAGCATGTTTGTGGCATGTTGCCACTTAGGTGGTGAAGATTTCTCAAGACTACTTTTAGTTAATGATTCAAGACTATGGAGTCAAGCCATAGGAGAACACTATTGTGGGTTTGTTGACATGTTTCCAAGGGCCAAAGAGCTAGACAAGGCCAAAGAGCTCATCCACAGCATGCCTTTCAAGCCCCAGAGTGTTGCTTGGGTCTCGCTACTAGCTGCTTGCTAGAAGATCCAAAAGATCCACAAGGCCTGAGCGTGGAGCTCAATTTGCCTAGAGACTCTTGGTGTTGGGGTTGAATTTCTACATGCTGCTCGGCCAGAATTATGGAAGTGTATTAACTTGATTTATAAAGATTTATTGCAATCTCACATTCTTTCTATCTTTCTTCATAACTATGAAGAGGCCATAGGAGTGGAGTTTTGCAACACTCAACATCACCACCAAAGAGAAGATGATTTTTTATTGCTACCACCACCTTTAGAGAATAAACCCCATCTTGTGTTAAACATTAATCCATGCCCACAAGGCCATAGCATCCCTTAAGCTCTTCAGTGGGAAAACTATTCTACTGAAGTGTTACTTTGTGGCAAAGAGGTTGAGCATGAATAGTTTTTTAAAAAAGATGAGCAAGATATATGAGATTGTGGTTTTTAATTGAGTAATGAAGCCATATGCAGACAAGATTTTGGACAAGCTTGACTCAGCTGGGAATCTCTTTGCCCATCATCTCCACAGAAATTCATGCTCAACCAAAGAAGCTGGAGGGAAAAAAGTTCTGAAAGATTTCTCAAGATTAAGGTAGAACCTCAAACACATGCCAAAATCCTTTTGCTTGCAGCTCAACAATGGAATTGTTATTTGTACATTCAAAAACAGGAAAGGGCATAAGTATTATGAATTGAAGATCGATAAACAATTTGTTTAAGAAAATTGCGAGCATTGAAGATGTAAAACAAGCATTGGAGAAGCTAAAAAGTAAACACTCTGATTGTTTATGCTGTAACACTACTCACTCTAAATTGATTCTGGCATTGTTTCCCTCACGAAAACTGTCCAATAATCATAATCAGGAAAGCATAATAACATACATACTTGGAGCCAATCGATAATTGTGATACTTCAGCAGCAGCATCAATATACCTTTGCAGAGAGAAAACGACGCAGCTCTTTTGTGTTCTTCAATCTCTCTGTCCTGAAACACATCATAGAGCCTCTCAAAATCCCTGATTTCTTATAGTTCCCAAGCACGATTTTGCCACTAAACGCATCAAAATAGATTAACTTGCTTTTCATATCCAAACTACTTCCCATAACTGGGCTCGTCCGTCCCCATCTTGGGGTGGACGATTGGTTGGGCGAAAATCAATGAAGGCTTACCTGTACCATTCTGGACGAGCCACACTAAAAGGATAAGCCAATTAGTCGAGCCATTAGTAAATCCAAATTAGAGTTGAGGTTTTGCATGGCTTGCACAAGAGGGGTGTAGGAATCTGGTGTGAAATAGCTGAATGCAAACGTTGAATCAATGATCATTCCTCCAGTTCCATCTGCAAGAATGCCTTGCACTGGAAAATTCAACGTGATACTTATGGATCTCAAACCGGGAACGTCACTCAAGTATCGAGCAAAGGAACTGCAGCACTGCTCGGCAATGATTTGCTACAATGTTTCTGTAAATGGTGACACACCACCACCACAAACTCCAACTTATCACTTAGACGATGGGATACAGGTTGAATTTCAGACATGTTTTCTGCTAGATGAATATGCTGAAAATGCGACTGTGTGCTTGGACATACATCTTTGTGTGGAAATCTTCTACAACTCAATTGTTTTCTTTTCTTCCTCTCCTGACGTATCTCCTGCTTGTTTAAGACACCTTCAAAACTTTATCTTGTCATAACGTTTGTCTCAATCCAGCCATTTGTTTTGCCCGTTTTTATATTGGTAAAAGGTAAACTGAAATATTTTAAAGTGTCCAGATCAATCGGTCTTATCTTTTACAAAAAGGATGATGTTTATGAAAACTGTTGTTACATATATTGATTGAAAGAGTCAGATATGTCATCAAATATATATTGCCTCAATCTTGCCTCAAGAGTTTCTCAATCTAGTTTTTCCAATCTTCCAAGAGTTTCTCAATCCTCCATGGAGAGGTGTCGGTCTGTGCTTTGTTTCCTACTGGCTCTTGTGTGCATTTGGGAATTTAGTCGTCCTCACGTCGAGGCTGCTCCTTTAGGGTTGGCCAATGTTATTGCAAGAACGGTCTTGAAAGTTGCGATAGAAGAGGGATTCGAGATGGGAGTTGCCGCCTGGAAGCGAAGACGAACTCCAGATAACGGCCTCAACTTCGCCATGAATGTCAATTTGGGAACTCCTCCTATGCAGCACAACTTCACCATGGCACTTAACTCGGAATTCTTCTGGGCTGCTTGCTCTCCTTGCATCGATTGCAATGTTTCCACAAACGAACCCCTCTTTTCATCGGCATCATCCACATCTTAAAGTAGAATTCCTTGCACCTCTCCTTTCTGCTCGACATCCCCTGGTTTCTCCACAAACTCTTGTGGATCTTCAGCAGTGGGTTCCACGACTTGCTTATATAATGCTTCTTACAGCCCCAGGTACTCCTCAGCTGGTGAGATGGCTAGTGATGTTGTAACCATGAAAGCTCCACGTAAAACTAGAGGCAATAAAAGCCTTAGAATGTCACTTGGATGTGGTCGACAAAGCACGAGATTGCTGGGAATTCTCAGTACATCAGGCCTGGTGGGATTTGCAAAGACAAACAAGTCATTCATCGGACAACTTGCTGAAATGGACTATACAGGCAAGTTTATCTATTGTGCTCCATCTGATACGTTTAGTGGCAAAATCGTGTTCGGAAATTATAAGATATCATCGAACTCCTCTCTTTCTTACACTCCAATGATCGTAAATCCAATTTCCACTGCGTTGTATTACATCGGCTTGAGATCCATAAGTATCAACGACATGTTGACTTTTCTGGTGCAAGGCATTCTTGCCGATGGAACTGGAGGAACGATCATTGATTCAACGTTTGCATTCAGCTATTTCACACCAGATTCCTACACCCCTCTTGTGCAAGCCATACAAAACCTCAACTCCAACCTTACTAAAGTATCGAGCAACAAAACTGCAGCACTGCTTGGCAATGATATTTGCTACAATGTTTCTGTAAATGGTGACACACCACCACCACAAACTCTGACTTATCACTTTGAGAATGGCACACAGGTTGAATTTCGGACATGGTTTCTGCTAGATGATGATGCTGAAAATGCTACTGTATGCTTGGCTGTTGGAGACTCGCAAAAGGTGGGGTTCTCACTGAATGTTATAGGAACCTACCAGCAGCTGGATGTGGCAGTGGAGTTTGATTTGGAAAAGCAGGAGATTGGATTTGGAACAGCAGGATGCAATGTCAGCATGAACCTTGACACTTCTTCTGGTTTTACATACATCTTCGTGTGGAAATCTTCTACAACTCAAATGTTTTCTTTTCTTCCTCTCCTGACGTATCTCCTGCTTGTTTAAGTAAGACACCTTCAAAACTTTATCTTGTCAAGTTTACTATACAAACTGCGTCAACATAGTAAATTCAGTCTGGATTGATTTGTAAACTCGAGATATATATAGCTTCTTTATCTTTGCAATTTGCTAGTTTTCAAATGAGGAGCTCTTTGTGTAGCAATTGTGCTCTTGTTGGCATAGTTACAAACATGAACATGGAACACGAACATGAGCTTTAGATTTCAGGAACCCGACCACAGAACATGATATGGCTCATGAATATTCTAGCGAATATTCTAAGAATATTCTTTTTTATTCTTGGAATATGCTACTTTTATTATACTCAAACATCCTACAAGTCATCATTATCTTCAACCTCACAATCTTCAACATCATCTCCATCTTCCTACTCAAGCTCGTCTTCTAGATGAAGAACTATCTCTAATACTTTGTACCTCACAAATTTGTCGTAGTTACAGTCATTTTTGCAAGTTAACAATTTGCTATTGCAAACCACGAAAACCAAATCTGTTGTCCTATCCACAATAAGTTTGTTTTTCTTTTTTGAAGACACATGCTCGAAAGTGTTGAATAATCTCTCCACCGAGGATGACAAGCATGCCTGGCTTAGAATTTGAATGGCCAACTTTTGAAGAACTGGAATTTCATAACTATAGTCCTCCCACCAACATACAGCTCCCTTCTTAGTGCGATCAGATTTAGCATCAATCGAGTTGAAAATGCTTCCTATCCTCTTGTAAATTAAAAGTTCATCTCGTATCACGTCCCTCTCACTAGATGTAAACATGGCCAATAGATAAGCATTCCAATCCTTCATAACTTCTTTGTTGGCATGCTTTTTATGCTCTTGAAACTTGGGGTCTAGCATATATGCCACCAAGTGCATGAGCGAGTGATTTTCATGCCACCGGTTAAACATGATCTAATGAAGTTCCATATACCTACTATAATCTGACCGTCCTTCCTCTAAACTTGCATCAAACCTGTTCATACACTCATATATTTTTCCAATTGCAAGTATATCACTGTCCACAAGATAAAGTAGTAGCATAACATCCTCATACACCTCTAACATGTCCTTAACCTGTTCCCAAAAATGGTCATCAAAAACAGTTTCATAACGATCTCTACCTGCTCTCATCTTTGACTCAAGCCTTGCTCTATACGTAGGGTATACAAACATCTATTGTAGAGCATCCTAGAGCTCCACTAGCCTCTCCATCATAATGAAGTTGTAGTAAAACTTTGTATCACAATAGCATAGCATTCGCTTATGAGTAAACTTTGTGTGAGACACAAATCCCTAAGCCCCAAAACGGAGCCAAAAGGGTGCCATGTGGTAGTGGCCAAAGTGAAAGCCAAACAAGCATAACACGTTTGGACTAAAAGCTTCAACTTGAAAGGTCAAGAGCGGGAGTGGAACTCCCAACGAAGTGCTCAAAAAACAAGTATAAAGCGAGTAATAAGTGAGTCTCTAGAAAAAGGACATAAGAGGACTAACATATGACACATGGAGGAGTTCGAGATGGACCCGAGATAGAGTCCGAGATGGACCTAAGATAGAATCCAAGATGGACCCAATATGGAGTCTGAGATGGAGTCCGAGATGGACTCGAGATGGAGTCCAAGATGGACCCAAGATGGAGACTAAAATGGAGTCCGAGATGGACCCGAGATGGAGTCTGAGATAGACTTAAGATGGAGTCCGAGATGGAGTCCTAGATGGACCCGAGATGGACCCAAGATGGAGTCCGAGATGGAGTCCGAGATGGAGTTCAAGATGGACCTAAGACGGAGTTTGAGATGGAGTCTGAGATGGACCTGAGATGGAGTCCGAGATGGACCCGAGATGGAGTCTGAGATGGACCTGAGATGGAGTTCGGGATGGACCCGAGATGGACCCGAGATGGACCCGAGATGGAGTTTGAGATGGAACTGAGACCAAGACTGAGTTCGAGTCCGAGGCCAAGACCGAGACTGAGACCAAGTCCGAGTCCGAGTCTAAGTCCAAGTTCGAGTTTGAGTTTGATTACTAATACAGACTATTGGGTGAAAGCCCAAAGCAATTGTCCCCCACAGGGGGGGGGGGAGCTATAAGGGGTTCCAAAAGTATAGTAGGGAGAGTGTGAGGGTTGGATCCTAGTGGAGCCAATTTGGCCTAGGAAGGTTGTACTCAGATGTTGGGTGATAAGATAACCAATGGGAGTCCAAAGCTAGAGTGAATATGGACCAACAAGCAGGGTAGCTTGGTGAATTGTTTAAAAGCTGACTTTAGTTCCCCCAAGAGATCAAATGGTCGATGCTCCCAATCCAAGCATAGGTGGCACTACCTACTTGGATACCTAGCATGGCTCAACAGAACCTTGCTCTAAGCCCATGGCTAAAGCACCCAAAGGCAGAAGGTGGGGAAAGTACCCATGAGGCTTGTGTAAGGCCATGGTGTTCTGAAATGTTGTCCCAAAGTCCTAGACTATGGAAAGGAAGAGGAATGGTCCTCTGTTGTAGTGACCAAGGATACGATCATGTGGCAAGGAAATCCTAAAGGACAGTGGAACTTAGTGGTCAGGCTTGTGGGCCTTGTCCCAGTGCCAATGTTAGCAAACACGGCCATGGACAGAAAAAGGACTTAGTGAGGATTGTAAAAGGGATATTGGGGAAGGTTATTCCCCATATATGTAGGCATCTTAAGGATGCTAAGGAGTGGATCTTGGATGGTTACTCATGGACAAATGGCCCAGTCTTTGAGAGACGGGATAGCAATGCAAGTGGTGTTAGACCACCAGTATGACCAAGGTGAATGAGCATAGTTTTAGCGTAATAAGCTGGTATGTTGGTGGTACCTTAGGGTGTTGATCATGGGACTAGACATGTGGAGCACTTGGACCAAGTGCAAAGGTTGAGTGGCATAGATGCCATTTTCAAGGTTAGCAAATCCCAAATCCAAAATTGAACTTATGGAGTTTGTGAATGAGACTCCTTCAAGTGGTTGGAGGTGTGGTTAAATGATTAAAATAAAATGGAAAAATTAGTCATTTACACTTTGCTAATAGTGCCACCATATGAAAGTGGTTCCTGACAAAGTTCACCAAAGCCTTTTCTTGCTCTAGAAGCATTACCATCCATGAAAGTTCACTGAAGTCTTTTAAGGCATTGTTCAAACAATGGGCAAAATATGTTGCCAATTGAATCTTTAGGTACCTTTGCATTATTGTTGCTACTCTATTCACATTTTCCCTATTTGTTATAACCATAATAATATTCTTTGCACCCACAATGCTAATGCCTTCTTCCCAACAACACAAAAATATTCTCAACTATTTTTCCTGTTGAGGAAATATTGATAACCTTCAAAAAAGCTACCATCCTTGACTATATACCACAAATCTTATAATATGCCAATTCCTCCTATCTGCCTATGGTTACACCTCTCTGCTCTTACTGCTTCTTCATGGATGCCATCTCAACATCAATGAATCCCTTCTCTTTCAATAAAAGCTTCTTCCGAAGATCATTATATTTTAGTGGTGCATAATGCACACTATGCCTGGCAACTTCCTGGATTATGTTGAGGAAGTAAGGGGATCAAGCCTTCATAAATGGAATATGTTCATTCTAGAAAAATCTTCTAATCACTGCATCAACTCAACTCTTCCATTATGGATTCATTAAATCTACAATATGGACTTGGCTCTTCTTGCTAAACAACAAGTAAAGACAATCACTTCCACTTGCTTGGGATAATACCACTAGCACTGAAAGTTCTACATTCAACCATTTCTTCCCCCTTTTACATATTTCAAAATCAATAACCTTTTGCACATTAACCAACTCTACCTTCTTGTTACCTGGGATAAGGGGGCAACTCACAATATCCCTGCTGCCTAGGCCTTTTCCCAATAGATAAGCTTGCACACAATCAACACCATTAAGCTTGTTCACCATTGTGCAATATTTGCATGACTACAGTTTGTGGTGCCCCCTAAGCACACTTACATCATCCCACCACTGTGATTCGCCCCTGCAGATGCTAGATTGCTGTGCCATGCTTGGCAGCAGGAGGGCAGATGAAGCGCCTCTCAATCCGTGGCAAATGGAGAGGCGGAGGTGGCTGTGGCACTGCCAGAATCAGCAGTGGCAGCAGCGGCTGTGGCACTGCCAGAATCAGCAGTGGCAGCAGCAGCTGTGGCACTGCCAGAATCAGCAGTGGCAGCAGCAGCTGTGGCACTGCCAGAATCGGCCGTGGCAGTGGTGGCAAACAAGATCAAGAGCTTACCCTAGATTGTTGCGTGCATGAATCAAACAAACATGGGCCATGATCCTGGCAACCATGGCCGGGATCACGGCCTGTGTTCGCAACAGTATACTCTGTTCATGAACACTGGCCGTGGGAACATGAACCATGGCTGTGTTCATGAAACAGGCTGGGATCCCGGCCGTGTTTGTAACTATGCTTGTTGGTAGCTTTTGCAGGATGCATTCAAGGACAGCGTGCAAGGATTCCACATCCCAACCGTGCTGGTGGTCTCTTCCCGCACAACAGGACGCCAATTGTCAACACTAGCCTGTTTTTGCCCTCTTCTCGCAAAAGCAGTCAAACCTTGGAAGCCAGCTTCTTTCTCGATGGTGCACTCAATTTCGCCATGGATCTCAGATTGGGAACTCCACCTCAGCCGCTCAACTTCACTCTCGTGGTGGACTCCGGGTTTTCTTGGGTGGCATGCTCCTCGTCCTGTGCAATCAATTGCACCACCGCATCTCTCTTCCAGCCAGGTTTGTCAACTTCTCACACCAAGCTTCTTCGTGCTCAGCATTCAGTGCCATTTCTACGAGCTGTGGACCATCCTCCCCTTGCTCATACAACACATCGTACGCTACTAACTTCTCCTCGGCTGATGACTTGGTCAGCGACATTGCAACAATGGATTCCGTACGAAACCAAAAGGTGGCGGCCAACTTGTCCTTGGGTTGTGGCCGCGACAGTGGGGGGCTGCTCGAACTCCTTG